AAAAAAAAAAAAAAAAAAAAGTGGAAAAACAAGTCCTCATAACGGGCTACTACTAACAGTTTCTTAAGCATTATCTCGGGCACTTACAATGTTAAGGGGTCAACACGGTTCTGAGACTAAAACGCAGGCTATGGAATTGGTGTCCCGAGGAAGCCAGGCTGGGAGGACACTGTGTTCATGTAGACGCTTCAGGTAAAATGGAAAGAGACAGAGGTCGTCAGTACAGGTGAGCCTTCAGGGTCAAGAGCTATGGAAACCCACTTGGAGCAAGGCGGAGGAGTAACAATCGTGAACTGGGGCTGGACGTGATTAGACAGGTGGTACCCCAGGAGCACTGTGATGCTACACAGCTGAGGAATCCAAGAGATCTCCTCCCCTACCTATCAGGGAGGACGGAAAGGCTGCAGACTGCAGTGACAGGAACCCTTAAGTTACAGCCGGGACTGCAGCAATTCTGGCCAAGGCCAGAATTCTGCAGGGCATTACAGGAAGACAAAGCTTGAGGCAGAAATCAGCTGATAAAGGAGCAGAGATTAAAGAGTGAACTTGTTGCAACTGCCAAGACAAAGGCATAGCAAAAAGGACCCAGAAGCTAGCAGCAGCCGTACCAGGGGCAGCAAGATGGTGATGGATAAGAATAAAGAGGCAGGATAGGAAGAGGTGCTCCCACCACACTGATAAGAGTGGTCCTCGGTCCTTTACTGAAGCGGAACCACACACAGGTGTGGCAATCTGCTTTATATATGTTAAATGTAATAGACTGTAAGCAGGTATTGTAAGAGAATTCCATGTTCAAAACCCTCTCTACTAGGTATTGTCGTACAGAATTATCAGAACAGAATAGACACTAGCTGATCATTTAAGTCAATATTCCATTGTCCTGGGTGGGTAAATCAGTAAGCTACCCTGTTCCTTACAAAATCCTGTCTTATTTCTGTCTGCACATGTTACGAGTTAGACAAGGTCAATACATACATGTACAGCACTTCCGCTGTGGTGAAATATGGAATCAACGTAAATGTGCGCCAATAAAGTGCTCATAAAAACCTGGTTCATTCGTACAATGACGTTCTAAGTAGCCATAAAAAAACAAAAGGGAATAAGGAAGTGCTCTTAAGTAATGATATGAAAATATCTACATTACGTTACGTCAAAAAGAAGCAAGATGCAGAACAGTGTGTATAATGTGCTACCTTGTGAGAAGGGAAGAGAAAATATGTGTATTTTTTATTTACACGAGAGCAACAAATTCACTTGTCAAATCTGCTCTAACTTGCTGTTCTGTCACAACTATGATTTGGTTTCCAAGAGACCCTTTGAACTGAAATATACAGTACCTTGATTTTTTTTTTCAGTATCTTGATTTTTAAACACACAAAACATACATGCATTTTCAAAATTATATGTAAATGCACTGGGTTGTGTCTCCTCCTCTCCATCTTCCCAAGTAGGAGGATGGAGAAGGTTCAGTAGGGCAACAAAACACTTTAGCAAACTTTATCCCCTGAAGTTGGGAAACGCTGTGCTAGAGACACCAAACCACCTCGTTAGACCCTAGTCTGTGGACCTCGTATAAAGTGTCAAGTATCCCCCGCTGCTTTTCCACAAATATTCCTCATATATGCGTAAAGAAGCTCTGGAAGAATAACCAATAAACTACTGTAATAAAAGTTATCTTTGGCAGGGGAGTAGGAGCTGGGTTTCTGGAGTACAAGGCAGGGAGATTCTTCAATGCATATCTCGTTGTATATATAAATTTTTAGTACACTGTGAACACATCCTACTCAAAAACATTAAAAAAATTTTTTTTGAATTAACAATAACCACCATCAGGGTTACCAACAGATGGCTTGAGGCCGAGAAGGAATTGTGGGAGTGCATTCCCACATCAAGGGCACAATATCAGGAAGCAGACTGTCCTAGGGGATCAGAGAATCCCACAAGTCCTGAGAATCTGCCAATGCAAACCCACCCGAGGCTGGTAACCCGAGAACTTAATGCAGAGAGAGGGGGGTGAGGAGAGGACAGAGCCAAGCTGAGGACAGTCTGCGCTGAGCCACAGTGCGAGATCCACCATCTATTTCTATATTCTGTGTTTATTCTGCTTGCACTTGGATTACAAGGAAAGGGTACTTCTCAAAAACTCTACCCTGATCTTAGCTGAACTGAGAGAAAGGGATTTTCCACCCCTCTACCTTGAGGTACCATCTCCAGGGGGAACTCATCAGTAGCTTCCCTCCAAAACAGGAACGGGTGACTGATAGAACATCGGGACCCCATGAGTTAATTCATCGAATCACAAACGTCTACTGAAAACCTACTCTGTGTCAGATGTGGTGTGAGGTGCTAGGAGAGAAGGATGGAAGAGCTCAGACAATGACTTCCTGCCCATCGGGACCCCTCTCCCAGGAGACAAAATGGAAAGTATCAAGGCATTAGGGATGCACAGACCTAAATTCACAGAGGGACCACTCACCCTATAACCATCCTCACTACATTTGCCAGTTAAGCTTGTAAAGCACGAGAAAGAAGAGAAAAGCAGAAGAAAGACAACAGAATCGAAGAGCCCGTGCTTGGGTTCCCTAGATACGGAAGAGATGGAAATCCTGATTCCCAAAACCTAGGACATATGTTCCTCCTGGGCACAGAGGCACAGAAACCGGCAGCCTTCCTTCCACTTTTTCCATCCTTTCCTAGGGTCTCTTCCCAGGAAATAGGAAAGTTATTACATATTGGAGCAAATAATAATAATAAACAAAAAACAAATTGCTCCTAGGATGGAGCCTAGCTTTTTTCCCAATTAAGGTTTACTAAGCACTTACTAAGTGCCAGGAACCATTGTCAACAACGTATATGTATTTCCTCATTTAAGCGTAAAACAAAACCGCTTTTTATACACAAGAAAATGGAACGGCAGAGGTTACTGAGGAGGGCATGCAGCAAGCTCAGGATGGAGAGGAGAGAAGTCTCACTGAATGTGAGGGTCTGGAGGCAGCCGCCTGGGTCCGAAGCCTGTGGTCAGCAGTAACCTTTGCAA